AATAGATGTTTTGCTATTGGAAGAAAATAAAGCAACAGAGAAATGCAAGGTTGTGGGGCCTTGTCTGAGGAAACACCGTTGGACTTCAAGGTGCCCATGCCTAATGGATGTTCAGGACGTATTGTAAAGTGGGAAGCAGTCATGTTCCCTGTGTCAGGCTTCTAACCACTCAATAATGGGAAGGAGAGGCCTGGTCACTAGGTTCATTACCCCATCTCTAGGGCTTCAGAGGAGGAGGTTAACTTAGCCTCACCTCCAGCCTCCCAAATCAGCACCAACCTTGTCTCATCCCTGAGAGCAAGCAAAGGTTCATGCTTGGTTGCCTTTGGAGTAAGCCTTCCAATGTGAAGCTGAAGCATGCAACTTGGAAGAGCAAATGGAATAAGATCTAGTCAGCACTGAAGCGATTAAATCAAAGACCTCAGGTGCTAACTATGTTCAAGAGCAGCAAGTGAAGGAGGGACATTGACGTTATGCCACATCAGCCGTAGGGAGATGGAGCCCAAGCTGTTGGGTCTGTACATTTGCCTCCATGCCACCATGGCCACTTGCTGTCCCTTCTTCCTCATATCCAACACCTGCCATTCTCTTTTCCTTAGCCTTTACAAGGATAACATGCAGGGGTTTACAACCTAAAGTATTATTCTTTGGGAGGTTAATTATTATTTCTTAATAGAGACTTCGTTGAGCGAGCAATGCTTTTACATAAAGGATTTAATCTCTAATGATAAAATTTCAAACACTAAGTCGGAGAAACTGGGACAATATGGACGTCAGATGAACCTTCCTCTACTCCTTACTGGATGCGGTAACCAACCGAGGATGCCTTTGTAGAATTCTAACAAAGAGAACTCACAGATGTTTTGTGTTCACAATTTTCCAGGTGCTTACTAAACGGAAAGTGCTTGCTATAAGCTTTTACAGTTTATGCGGAGTCTACAGTGGGCACACTGCCATTCCCCTCTCTCAGGGCAGAGCTAGCGTCCTGTGGCCAGGGCTTAGAACATACGTGTGCCAAGTCATTAAACACGTGCTCCGAAAATGGAATAATGGCTGGATGTACAGTTAATCTCTACTTTTCCCTGCTCCAACCTTTCTTCTGGCAGCTGATCCATTTAATTGTAAGGAAATGATACCCTGGGGTGAATTATCCTTTTGATTTCTGCACCTAGCAATGTGCTTAATAGAAATCTGTTTGTGATGGTAATTTCTCAGTGTTTCGCTGGGGGCCTGTGTCACTGTGAAAGCAGTGTTGGGGCACAAAGGGCTTGCTGGGCCGTACCAAGCCAGACACCAGCAGGGTGCAGCTCAGGGAATGTGGGATAAGCTGAGACTGGGCTTTTGTGGTTGGGTGAATTAATTGCCTCTTGAATTACCTCAACTTTAGAATCAGCCTTAAAATAGTAAACTTAACATTCTCTGAACAGCAGAGAAATATGTGGGCTTGTTTTCCGTTTTGTTTCTCTGGTTGGTTACTATGGCCCAGAGCAGAAAGCTTTCATGGAGAAGAAAAGATGTTCTAGGTTTTCTTTTATCAGTTTGTCTCCCAGTAAGTGCTTTGCCAATTGTTTGCCAGCCCCAGTTACGGGTGTGTGTGTGTGTGTGTGTGTGTGTGTGTGTGTGTGTGTGATTGTAATGCATTATTCGGAATGTTATGTGGAAATCCTTGTGTTGTGGCAAATGCATTTTAGTTTCGTGTCTCTAAGCTGGCCTGTGGAATATGAGTTTGTAGCCTGTGCAAATTCTCCGGAACGGGGTCAGGGCAGGGGTCACTGGCCATTTCCCCTCATTTTCTGCACCAGTGATGCTATCTGTTTGCACATCCTGCGAGAACCCCTCCCGAGGCAGTTTCCAATGGGGTTGCCTCCCTTTGGATTTTTATTGCTCAATCAAATGATATGTAACAGCCTGCTTGAGAGAAAGAATCTGTGTTAATCAGAGGAGCTTTTGATGCTGTAATGGGAAACGGGGTGTTGGCCTAAAAAAAAAGCAGGTACGGCATGGCATTTGGTCCACTCTGACCTTTCAAACTGCGGGTGCCCTTGAAAAGGGTAACCTGCTAAGTCTCTGAGGTTCAAAAGTTCTTGGAGGCGTTTCAAGTGATAAGCTTTTCCTGTCTTCTTGGTGAGTTCTGTCAAGAAAACTTTACTGAGTTGAGGGAGCTCCCCACTCTGTTTAATTTCCTGTAGTCCTCACATTACCCCTCCCCCTCCTCCCTGAGCCCACTCCGACCCCTTCCCTCAGTGAGTCCTCCTCCTGGTGTGGTATGGCCATGAACCCCAGTTCTCATTCCTTCCCCACCACCTGCCTCCTAGGACTTCTGCACGAGAGAGTTGGCCACATCCAATGATGCAGAAGCATTTCGTGCAGTGACAGGTTTGGGTTTCTGCTACAGAGTTTCTCCTGAGCCTTCGAATCTCCAGGGGATCTTGTTAAATGCAGATCTGATGCAGGATGTCAGGGGCAGGGTCTCAGATTCTGCATTTCTAACAAGCTCCCAGTTGATGCTCGTGTCGCTGGTCCAGGACCACAGTGCGGCAGCAAGGTCTAGTCTGCATTATGCACGGACCCTTGACCTAGGAAGAAAGTTCCACAGCTACATCATCTTCTAAACACTGTCCGCCTCCTTGGTGTTTGTCTGCAGATCATCTGTGGTCCCGGAGTTCATTTAAGCTGCTTCGTGACACCTCAAGGTAGGTAAAGACACACGTTCTGCAGTTACGGTTACCTTTTTATTTTCATTTATTTCCCTCTTGCCAGTACTCCATTTTTGTTTCGCTCCAATGGGTTTCCCACTTATACCCACTAAACAGAGACATTGTAAAGTCTCAACTGAAAGGAAGATTATATCTGGTGCAATTTTCTGATGTTTTCATTCTTTTTGTAAGAATAAGTTCATAATAATTTTATTAGTTCTCAATGTATTTCTATTTCCCCTGAACCTTGGAAGATGTAAGAACTAAGTGATGGGGTCTCTTGTTTCATTGCAAACAACGCGAGTCACAAGGTAAGTCACCAAAGGGAGACCACTCTGACCCACGCCTCTAAGTTCTCCTGTTTTCAGAAACTCTCACAAGCCAGCTGCTTATTATCTAAATAAACATGGAAGAATGAAGTCAGTTCTTGCTCACTTGTTACCCTAGGACTTGAAAGTCGGAAGCCTTAGCCCTTCTGATACGTTACAGCGCCACATAAAGCGGGCCCTGATTTTAACCTACGTTTATCGATAAGCTACTCTACGCAGGCACTACTCAACGCCCTTTGCGTGTATTGTCTGATTTAATCCTCAAAGCAAACACTATCAAGTACTCTTCTTTTAGACCCCTTGTGCAGATAAGGACATTGAACAGCCGAAAGATTTATTAGTAAGTCACAAAGCTGGTCAGTGTGGGGGCGGGGCTACCATCCAGGCACCTTGGTTCTTGGAAGCAACAGAGTAGAGAAAAACAGAGTTGTTGGCAGAGTTGGAGAGGAATTCCAACATTGGTTTCCATTCATACCAAGAATTACCCTTTTTGTTCGTACTGATGTACGCAGCGACCTCTCAAGGGAGGCAGGGTGGGAATCACCTCCGTTTGACAGATCGGTCCAGAGAAGTTAAGCGGTTTGCCTAAAGTCCCAGGGCCGGTGAGTAACGGAGCCAGGACAGGCCCTAGGTTTCCAGGTGCCCTTGCCCCCTTCCGATCTGGGGCTCTGGGTCCAGGATGTGATCAAAGAAGGCCAAGTCACGGAAACCGCTGCTGCTTCTTCGTCATCACATCCCAAGCTTGGCTGCAACTGAGCTGTCATCACAGCCGTGGTTCCATCTGGGTTCGCCGGCGTCTCCCAACTTGCGGGAGGAGGTAGGGAGGGAAAACAGGCCTGGGCGGGGAGCTCCCGAGGGGGCGGCCCCTCCTCCCGTCTCTTCCACCCCTCGGGCCCCTCCCCGCCTCGTCCCCTCTGCGGAGCTGCCGGGCGAGGCTGCGCACAGAAGTGGCCGCGCAGGCACCTCCACTCGCCCTTGCAGCGCCGCGCGCGAGGTGGCCGAGGAGGCGGCGCCAGACGCGGCGAGCGTCCCTCGAGTGGCGGGCGCGGCTGGCACCTGCAGAGCGCGTCCCGGAGGAGGACGGCGGGCGCCCCAGCGCGCCGCCCGGCAGGTCTGTGCGCGGGGCCCGCGGGGCGGGCCAGGCGGGCGCGCCTTGTTGACTGCGGTCGGAGCGCGGCGGCCGCGGGGACCCCGGGGGCCGGGAGGAGAGGAGGAGATGCGGAGAGAGGGCGGCCGAGGAGGTGGGCTCGCCGCCGAGGACAGGCTCGGTCACCCGTTTGTGCACCTGGCTCCCTGCTGTGACGCCCGGAGAGCGGGAGGCGCGTGTCCACCTGCGCCCCCGCCACTCCGGTCTCTCTCCCCGCGCCTGCTCGGCCTCAGCTGGGCTCCAGGGGACGGAAAACTGTCGGCCCGGCTTCTAGGCGGTCGCTGGGCGGTTTCCCGGGGGACGGGGCCGCTGCTAACTCTCCCCGCGTCTCGGCCGTTGGGAAACAGCGTTTGAATTCTGGCCGCCGCGGATTTGGAGCCGGAGTGGACTCTCCGCGGGGTGTCCCGGAACTAGAGAAGGAGGGCGCGCAGGGCTTGCACGTTCACAAAGACTTCTGCTCCCAGTGTCACAGGGGCGGGGGGTGCCCTCTCTATTGTGGCCCCACTCAGCGCCCTGGGGTTGGCGGCTGCCCAGAGCACCTAAGAGCTCGCTCTGCTGCACGCCGGAAATTCTCTCCAATCAACCATGGAAAACCCCGTGGAGCACAGTTCCACTCTCACACACGTGGGGTCTCCGTGGGTGGGGTCAGCTCAACGGCTCGACAAGCACCTGTCCGGAGACAGGTCAGCGGTGGGGCGAGCAACGTGGTTGCATCTTGACAATGTTCTGATTGTCCCCAAGCAGCGTCGCCCTCAGGCCTGGGCGCAGGCTGTCCCAGCCTGGCGGCAGGGAAGGCCGATGGCCCGCAGTCATCAGTCATCACTATCATGCCTTTCAAAAGGGCGACCGAAAAGAAGACTTACTGGCAGTTTTAAAAATAAGAATGTCATTTCCCTGTTCAACTCTAAAGGTTTTTTCTACTTCGAGCTATTTTTTAATCACACTTTGTTACCGTGTTATTCTTTCTGGCTCTTATCTGAGCCAGCTGTTGGCTCTTAAATATGTAGCTTTAGAGAGGTAAGTATAAACTATGTGGGGTGTTACCTTTTTTTTCAGAGCCAGTAACTTAGAGTAAATGAGCCCTGGTGGCGCAGTGGTTAAGAGCTCGGCTGCTAACTGAAAGGTTGGAGGTTCTAACCCACCAGCGGCTCCGCAGGGGAAAGACCTGGCCATCTGCTCAGGTAGAGATTACAGCCTAGAAAACCCTATGGGGAAGTTCTACTCCGGCCCATTGCGTCGCTGTGAGTCGAAATCGACTCTACTGCACCCAGCAACTTAGAGTGGACCTCCTAATTTTGCTGGCAACGTGCATGCCCAGGGACGCCTATCTGAGCTCCCTGCTGCCCCAGAGAGGGTGAACGGGTTAACATGACCTGCAGCTGCCGGAGGCAGGATGTGTAGAGGCCGGCCGGTGGGCGGCATCAGGATGTGTGATGCTGAGGGAGGGATAGGGCTGCAGCCACAAATGAAAAAGTGCCCCCTGGCTGGCCGAGCGTGCCCTTGTGGCCTCCCCCCTCACCAACAGGCAGGAGACCCCCTCTTGGCAAGGTAGGCGTTGGGGTGGTGCTGGCACTGGGGGTGGGGGGGCAGGTGGGCAGACAGCCGCTTGCACTGGAGTGTTCTCTGACATACAGCTGGCTCCCTATGGAGTGATTGGCCCCAAGATGGCTTAGACCTTGTGTTCATAAACAGGGCTTTCTTCCTGAGTTCTCCCTGGCCTTTCAGAGCTGCAGCAAGAGAGGACCCCACTCTCTCCTCACACCTGCCAGCCAGAGAAGCCGCCACAGCCCAGCCCTGTGTCCTGGGTGGGCTTCTGTGGGGTCTCTCCATGGTGAGTTAGCAAAGCTGGATGGGCAGAGAGGATCCTAGGGCTCAGCTTTAACTTTTCAGAGTCCCTAGGTGGTACAAACAGTTTAACATGCTCAGCTGCGAGCCAAGATTGGTGGTTCGAGTCCACCCAATCTACCTGGCCATCTACTTCCAAGAAAACAGCCATTGAAAACCCTATGGAGCACAGTTCTCCTTTTATACACATGGGGTCTCTGTGAGTTGGGGGGGTCAGCTCAACGGCAACTGGTCTACTGGTTTAGCTTTTCAGCTATCCCACTTATGGGGCGTGGGCTCCACCCCAAGTTTTGATTTAATGGATCTGGGGTGCGACCTGTGCATTGGTAGGTAAAGCCACCAGGTGGCTGGAAAATGTGTAGCCATGGTTGAGAGTCACTCATTACCCTTCGGAACCTCAGTTTGACCTTGTAGGAAATGGTGGTCACACCTACGCTTGCTGCCTCACAGAACTGTTTAAAACAAGTGACTTATGTAAAAGCTGTAAACGAATAAAGATGCCTGTAGTATAAGAAGGTGAACTTAGGAAACTGTTACAAACATCTTTGTGTTAAATATTCCCTAAGTTATGTGCTGACTATTTTTCAAAGAGTACTTTAGGCATGAGGAGCCCTGGTGGTGCAGTGGTTAAGCACTTGGTTGCTAACCAAAAGGTTAGCAGTTCGAACCCACCAGCTACCCCTCAGGAGAAAGGTGTGGCAGTCTGCTTCTGTGAAGATTACAGCCTTGGAAACACTGTGGGGCTGTTCTACTCTGTCGTATAGGGTTGCTATGAGTCGGAATTCACTGGATGACAGTGGGTTTGGTTGTTTTGTTTTTTTTTTTAATAGGCATAGTTTTCTTACAGAGATCTTCTGCAAAAATAGGAGGAGAGGGGAATGAGAGAGTAGGAGACTGAACTTAGAAATGCT